GCCGCCCCTCCCCCCGCGGCGCTGTCGCGAGCCCGCGCTCTGTCGCGACAGCGGCGGCGGCAGCGCGGAGCGGCCGCAGCAACATGGCGGCGGTGGGGCCCGCCCGCGGCGCGGCCGCTTTAAGAGCGAGGGGGGCGTGGCTTACAGTCCTTAAAAGGGCAATCAGTGTAAAAAAGGGAGGCGGGGCCGCGCTTAAAGCGGCGATGCCGCGAGGGGTGGGCCCGCCTTAAAGGGGCGATGGTTGGAATCTTTGTGTTTTAATTAATTTATTGATAATTTTGTGGGTTTATTAAGGAATTGATGATTTGATGGGGTTATTAGGGATTTATTGGGGCGTTAGCGAGTGGTTTTAGGGGTTTGTTTTGCGTTGGTTGGATGTTTATTAAAATAATTTATTGTAAATTTATATTTTAATTGTGGTTTTAATACATTTGCATAAATTTATTGTATATTTATATAATATCCAGGATTATTATTTTGTTTTCTCTATTTTTAAAATTTTATCTGTTATTTATTTATATTTTTTTAAAATTTTAGCTGTTATTTTGTTTTATTTATTTTTAAAATTTTATCCGTTATTTATTTACATATTTATCCATATATTTCCATTTTTTATTATTTATTATTATATATTTCCAATATTTATTTACATGCTACTTTAATAAATAAATATTTAAGTGTTTAAACTGCATTTATATTAAATTTCGAGCTAATTTATTTATTAATTTAAAATTAATTATAATTTTAAGTCAATTAATTAAAATTCCCACTCAGGAGCCGTTGCCCCTTTAAGAAGGCTCCGCCCACATTTAAAAGCCCCGCCCACTTTCCCATAAAACTCATTAATTACTCCTTAATTAATACCCAAATTCTCTTTATTAGCGCTAAGCAAAGGGGGCGTGGTTTACAAAGGGGGCGTGTCCGCGGCGATGACGTCACCGCTCCTCCGATGACGTCACCAGGAAGGGCTGGGCCGGCAGGGGGCGGAGCCGCTCCCCGCAGAGCCGCAGCCAATGGGGGCGCACGAAGAGCAGCGAGGGGCGGAGCTCCAGCGCCTGAGGGGGCGGAGCTTGCGGTTAAAGGGGGCGGGGCTTGTGGGAGTGCCCAGCGAAGCCACGCCCCCTTTTTAAAAAGCCACACCTCCTCGAAGGCGGGGTCCCAGCCCTGTGACGTCACCACGTGCGTCACTGATTGGTCCAGGGAGGGAGCCAGGGAGCTGCGGGACCAGTGGAAACCAGTAAAAACCAGTATGGACCAGTACGGACCAGTACGGACCAGTATAAACCAGTATGGACCAGTATAAACCAGTAAAAACCAGTATGGACCAGTACAGACCAGTATGGACCAGTCTGAGCTCCCAATCCCCTCCCAGTCCCTCCCAGTACAAACCAGTAACCCCAAACCCCCTTTAACCCTTTCCCAGCCCCTCCCAGTCCCCCCCA